AATTTACTAAAATTAAACTTCCACAAATCTGAATTCCCATCTAGTGTCGCCACACAAACAAATAAACAAACCAAAGCAAAAATGTCGCTTCAGAGAATGTAATAATAGATAATTAGATGAGTGGGAGTCTTATAAACAAGAAGATTAAAGGTCTTTCAAATAAGGGAACACTTTTGATGGCTTCATCTGTCTATTGAAGCAATTACTTGTCATAGGCATCCATTATGTAAATTTAAATGGCTCGATTCAGACTTGACCAGTTATGGATGAAAGCAAGAGGCAAAGCGGGGCACTTTAAAAGCGGAACTGCTCTGAGTCACCTAAACTGGGATAAATAGTTTCAATTACTGATTTAGGCTCTTTAGGCTAACCAAACCAAATATTTAAATATATGATATAATCTGTGACATCATTTGCTGAATACAAAATCAGAACTATTTGATTCTCTAGTGCAGTGGTGCCCAAAGTGGGTCCTCGAGGGCCGGCATCCTGCATGTTTTAGTTCTTTCCCTGGTTTAACGCACATGGATCCAATGATGGCTCATTAGATGCCTAAGAAGAACACTGACCTGCTGAAAAGGTTGTTACTGCCACCGGGAGAGAACTGAAACAAGCAGGATGCTGCCCGTCCAGGACCCACTGCTCCAGTGTTTAGTGTGCTGGCAAGTTATGATTTTAGTAACAGAATAGATAGCAAGCCAACATCAAGAAGAAAGTCAAACCTAGAGACTGATTAATGAGCAAAGTTCATTCATCAAAATTAGAGTCAGCTTTATTCAGCAAATTTGTGCACAAAACATAGAATTTGACCTCAATTCCACTTGGCTTTAAACTAGAAAAATGAAAAAAGGGAAAATAAAAACATTTATGTGCTGTAGATATACAGTGTTTTAAAACAGGAGAACAATATTGCTCTTCATAGCATGTTTTTGATGCTCTTTGGACCCTGTGGGTAAGGAACATTTTCCAAATACAAAGACTCATATTCTGCAGTGCATTATGGACCGCATTGAAAAGGTTCTGAGGTTCAAGGTGAGAGCACAGGGGGTGCAAAGGTTCACACCTGCTTCCTTATAATCACCAAGTGTGAAGATTTCAGAAAACATATGTTGAAAATATGTCAGAACATATTTCTACAGAACATATTTGTTTATATTGCAACTATTTGATATCAAGTTTCTTTAAAAAATACTTTTGTTAAAAGCAGATGTATTTCGTGCTAGAAAATGTTCATAAGTAATACATTTTACACAAGTTCAAGAAATGTTGGTAATTTTATTCATGTCTCACCCGAGGGGACATCTGTCCCTTTTTCTCCTTGGCTGAGACACGTCCCCTGCCTTGCCTGCTGGTATTGGTCAGAGTGTCTGGTGGCTCTGAGCATGGTAGCCTCACCTCTGTCAGCCTGACTCAGGGCAGCCGTGGCTACTGTCCAGTAGCTTACCACCATCAGTGTGTGAATGTGTGTGTGATTGGGTGAGTGACTGAATATAGTGTGAAGTGCTTGGGGGTCCTCTGGACTTGTTGCTTCAATGCCTGCCTAAATAAGACGCCAACATATCCTCTGATGGCTGGTAGATGGTGAGAGTCATCTCCATCGCTGAATTACCAATATAATTCATGTAAGTGTTTACATTCAATGCTGTTATGAATTTTAAAGACCTTTTGCGTGAACAGACATATCTTCATCTGATTTTAATTCTATTTCTTATTTAATGTAAATGCCACAGTTGCCAAGCTGGGTTTTCTGACATTAGTAGAGAATCCAACATATTTTGCATACATTTGTCATGGAAACACAACTAGTCCTCTATGTTTTCTTTCATCTTTTCTCTTTGTCCTCTCCAGCTCGTTGCAGAACACAGCTGATTACATCTGGTTCTACAAAAGTTTACATTCCATTAAAACAAAATTAACTGACTACCCAGGATGTAGGACTGCTGCAAAGTTTGACTCAGTGCTGAGGCATCTGCTTGCAATTGATAGTAGCCACACAGGCACACCCGCTAGAAGGAAACAAACGCACCCAGTACAACACTTTAATTTTATTGGCTCAGAGGTTGCTAGGCGACTCTGCCACAAAGGCAGTTCCATGTTTCGTAAGCAAGCAGAGAGTCTGAGCAGAGACTAAAGTCATTTTCGCACTGCAAGATACGGAACGGAATGGAACGGCACGGCATGGCACCATACGGCACGCTTCGGTCCGGTTCCACCCGTTCTGCAGCCCTGTTGTGTTTGCATATAACTGAGGGCGGCATCGAAGCTGTACCTGACGTCATTATTTTTGAAACTAAACAATGGTTTCGATGTAGCAGCTGAAGCCTTTTCCTCAGAGATGCCAGTAACCCCATATACTTAAATGGGTTCTGTTAAGAAAGAGAATATCTAAAATTAGTTAACTTTGGAAAAAGTTTGGCTCTCTTCCTCTGGATCCCAGGTTCTCTCGGCGAGCCGCGT